CGCTCTTATACAAAGGAGCTCGAAAGTCATCCTCCCGCTCTTCGTCAGGAGGTGCTTTAAAAAGGAAAGAAAAAAAAAGAATTACTCCATTTCTGTCATTTGTCACATATGGTAACTCACACTATATAAATACACCAAATATAACTCGTCTTGAATTATGCCATACCTTTCGGTATAACACCGGGATCCATAAACGTCGCCAGTGAGAAATTTATCACCACGAAGAAGGTGATGACTCCTTGCAGAGCCGGTACCCATAAACCCCATCGAGAGACGTAATAGTTCGAGCACCTGCGTGAAACACAAACGATAGCGATGTAAACTGATATTCTTGGCGGCGAGAAGGTAAAAAAAAAGGAAAAAAAAGAATAGGCACCGAGAGGCTCCCATCCATATCGGAACTCCGACAGACGTGATGCTCGCGCGACAACTTACGGAAAGATGAAGAAGAGTGCCGTGGTGCCGAGTAGGACCGTCCACGCGAACGTAGCTGGCAGATATCTTGTTTTCACGTCGCATTTCGGCATCCTGCACGCTCCACGATTCGTGATTCACCACGATTTAGCGCGAATTATTAATGGATAGGATTTCTGCTAGCGGGAAACATGGCCGCGTCCGCATCGCTTTATTTGCGACTCGTCCCGAGCCGTGCTGAAAGCACGGCCGCGCAGCCGGTCTAGCTGCCGTCCAAATGTCCGCGACACATGGGTCCGTCACTCGCGCGTCATTCCGGTAAAAACATCCGTGGTGTTATTAATATTTAACGGCTCCAGCATACAATGGATCTCCGAGCACACCACCTTGGTGACATACATATATAGCAGTGCATCTCACTGAATCTCGCGCGACAGCGCGCGTGTCGATCTCCCTCTTCGTCCCCTTCACCCATCACAATAACGTTGCGAGAGTAGCGGGATTTAAGGCCGGTATTCATAGTCAGTTCTTATATTTAAGACCGTCTTATGCCCGTATCAGACTACGCATTGAAGATTGAGATTCAAGATTAAAGATTGAAATTTGACCAATCAGGACAAAAAAATTTTAGTCCATTTTGTTCTGATTAGTCAAATTTCTTTAATCTTCAATCTTCAATTTTCAATGCGTAGTCTGATACGGGCATTAAAGTCCGTATCAGACTACGCATTGAAAATTGAAGATTGAAATTTAAAGATTGGAATTTGACTAATCAGAATAAAAGAGACTAAAATTTCTTTGTCCTGATTGGTCAAATTTCAATCTTGAATCTTGAATCTCAATCTTCAATGCGTAGTCTGATACGGGCTTAAGTACGTTCGACATTATTCGCATGTCGCCAGTCGCAAGCAAATCGACCAATCACAGTCGATTATTCCGTCGAATATTCGACTGTGATTAGTCAATTTCTTAAGGCTTAGGGCTTAAATCATCTATTGTAGACCGGCACTAATGCCCGTATCAGACTACGCATTGAAGATTGAGATTCAAGATTCAAGATTGCTTAGAGCTTAAATCACTATTGTAGACCGACACTAAGGCTTAGGGCTTAAGGCTGATTTATGCAGGCCGTAACTGTTAATTTATGCTATAATGACATTATGAACAAAAGCATTGTAATCCTAGTGTTAAACTTTAACGGTTCCGGCATAAATTAACAGTTACGGCCTGCATAAACCAGCCTTTAAATCACCTATTGTAGATCCAAACTTAAGGGCCAATTTCACCAAGACCGGTTAGATAAACCGACGGTTAAAATTAGCAGGGTGGCCAACAGAAAATAGAGGTGAAGGAAAACCAAGCATTCATATAATTTCAGTTAGAACCCTCCTAATTTTAACCGTCGGTTCATCTAACCGGACTTGGTGAAATTGGCCGAAAGGCCCGATTCCACAACTTACTTTAACCGGAGTTTAACTCGTTAATGGAGGATTCACATTGCATTTGATGTACAATGTATGACGTCCGATTGGATACATCGGACATCAGACGTAATGTGAATTTTCCATTAACGAGTTAAACTTTGGTTAAAGTAAGTTGTGGAACTGGGCCTAAGATATTACATAAGACGGTCTTGAAATAAGAACTGACTATGAATACCGGCCTTACTAGTAACTTGCTTTCGACAGTTTTCGGTATCGTTAACTAGCGACAGCCAATGGCAAAAGCAATCCTGTAGTGGGATTCAGTAACTTGCTATCGATAGTTTTCGATATCGTTAACTAGCGACAGCCAATGGCAAGGACAATCCTGATAAAAAGCGCAACTCTCATAGGCTATCGCTCGCTAACAACACGCTCAACAACGATAATCGTCGCTAAGACGTTAGAGAATCCCGCTACTGGTGAAAAGCGCAACTCTCATAGGCTATCGCTCGCTAACGACAATGATAATCATCGCTAAAGCTCGTATCAGACTATGCATTGAGATTGAAATTTGACCAATCAGGACAAGGAAATTTTAGTTCCTTTTATCCTGATTGGTCAAATTCCAATCTTTAATACGTAATCTGATACGGGCTTAAGGGCCAATTTCACCTAGGCCGGTATTCATAGTCAGTTCTTATTTCAAGACCGTCTTAAGGGCCAATTTCACCAAGTCCGGTTAGATTAACCGACGGTTAAAATTAGCAGGGTGGCCAACAGGAAATAGAGGTGAAGGAAAACTAAGCATTCTTATCATTTCGGTTGGAATCCTGCTAATTTTAACCGTCGGTTAATCAAACCAAGCTTGGTGAAATTGGCCCTTAGAAATGTCTTAAGATGCTAATACGGCTCTGTGATTGGTTTAGGACATCTTATAATTGTGCTTAAGGGTCGGCAGGAGTGACGGCCAAACTCCAAATTGATATTAGAGACCTCGCGCGGTGACAATGCGAAACTCCGACTTCAGGATCCCGCGAGAAGTCTCCACCGTCTCTCCTGCCGACCCTTAAGACGGTCTTAAATATAAGGGTGCATCCCAATGGAGAAAGAATAGCGGAACGGAACTGTAACGGAAAAGAAACCAGATGCAAGGTAACCAATCAGAATGATTCCGTTTCAATTTCGTTCCGCTTTTTAATCAGTGGGTTCTCCATGGCACGGAACGGAAAAATTTCTAACCTCATCCATATGAAAAATTCACGAAGTTTCTACCCAGATTTATTTTGCAACGTACGCTTTTGGCCACAAAGAAGTAAATAAAAAGCAATGTCGTCATCGTACGTTATTATTATACATATGTAAAAATATTATTTTATATTAAACACGTGACACACACTTATAAAATAGATTAGGTTAAATTATTCTTATTACAAATTTAAAGAATAGATACAATTGTATGTGGTATATTTGATTGATTAGGAAAAATTCAAATGTGGATATTGCGGCTGAATTGTTTGCAGTGATAAAAAATGAACAAATTTCACATACCCACTCAGCATGTAATATTTCTGATACATTGCTGCAATATTCCATTTAAAATATTACACCTTTCAACAATATTACAGAAATATTTCACGACCGTTTCTGCAACATTTCTGCAATGTTTCAATGTCCGCAATCATTTCAAATACAACCTTGCTAAAAGATTTCAGCAATATTTCGGTAATATTACTGAAATATTTCTAAAACATATCCCAAGTAGCAAACTGACGTAATAATGACGGTAAATTTTGGTCACAGAATAACCACTTAGACATCCTAACTTATGATAGGTCTCATGAGACCCGAAAATGATGTCG